ACGAATGAAATCTGACTCCACTGGGAAAGGGAGACGCGAGTTCGGCCTCCGTTGAGGACAAAGGCATTGGTGGAGAACACCAACGCAAGCAGAGCAGAGTGGCGCAGCGGAAGCGTGCTGGGCCCATAACCCAGAGGTCGATGGATCGAAACCATCCTCTGCTAGGTGCTTTGTTTTTCTTTTTCCACCAAAACCAGGTTGGAGTTCAGAACCCAGCTTCAACCTCCCGCCCTCCCGGTCACAGGAAATGTGACCGCCGCGATCCTCTCCGGGCCGCAGAGCTTGGACGCGGAGGGTGCGGACGTCCAGCTCGGCGCATGCGCGGCCGGGCCCTGGGCTGCGGGACTGGGGCGCCCGGCTCCCGGGCGTTCAGCGGTCCGTCAGCATCGTCACCCCGGTGGGCCTGTATCTCGCTGGCCTTGTGTTTTGTCTTTTCCTCTTTCACTTTTTGAAACTGGTTCTCAAGACTCGATGCTTTGATCATTTCCCCCGGTGGGCGTGGGCCTGTGCGGCCGGCAGGTCTCGGCGGGGGACACGGATGAACTCAAAGCCAGCGTCTGACTCACCAAACTCCGCAGTCAGCACTGTTCTGCATCCCCTTCGCTTTGTAAAATTCCGAGTGTACAAAAGTGATCACACTGTACTGTTTCTTATCATGACACATTTACTGGCCACAAGTCTTTTATACTAAAATAAAAAAGAATCCGTTCATAAAGATGCAAGTACTCTTCGGAGTCAGCCCTAATCCTATCGCCGCCTTCTCCCGCAGCTCTGCCTCGGGTTTCAGGTTCCTGGTCCTCTGTACAGGACCCTGCCACACCATTCCATCCGAGACACTTTTCGGGGGAAAGACAGGGTCTCGCTATGTGGTCCTGGTGGCTTCAAACTCGGAGCAATCCTGCCTCAGCCTCCCAAGTGCTGGGATTCTAAGCATGTATCATGCTTGGTTCTGAGATGAATTTTAACACACAGATCACCAAGGTCTTGTGTTATTTTTATCTAAAATAACTGCTAGGAAGCACAGAACGTTACTTTCTATTTTCTCCTGGATACTATTTAAGAAACGGATGTTCACTATGTTCTTGGATATTGTGACCATAGGTACAGCATCCTTTAAAAGTGAGGAATTCAATTTACTTTGAGATTCACAGGCTCTAATACTTCTCCCTATGTTATAGGCGGCTGAGTTAGATAGAAATATTATAGGCAGTCAGACAGGGCCAGGCCCTCGAAAGAGTCAATATGAAAGACAAGATAAGATACTTGTGTGCCAGACCTCAAGACAAAAGGACTAAACAAATGCACTCACATACCTTTCTAGGGATGGACATCAGGGATTGACATTCTAAATAAGTAGCAATCACCTTGAAGAGTCCTTGACCCAACCCCTTACAGGAAAAGCCTCCGTTCTGTATTCATGCCCCCTTGCTACGTGACTTGCTTTCCCATTTGATCCCAAGTTAATCAATTTTACCTGAACAATTCTTATTGGCTGGCCATAGTTTTGTACATTTTTCCCCTATTTTGGACCCGCCTCACCTCGTGGTTTTGCTCTATAAAAGTCCCTAGAAAAGACAGAGTCTTGGGGTAACCCATTCCGGCTCTCCTTCTGTCCCTCTCTTGGACAGAAGCTTTCTTTCGCTCAATAAGTATATTCTGCTCTTAACCTCCGTTGTTCCTAAAATGCATTCTTCGGTTTTAGAGAATACGAACTCTTCCCAGATATTGTTCAGGTTGGGAGTTTTTATTTTCCTGTATCACCTACATGGTATAAAGAATTTCCTATTAGCAAGCATAAAAAGGAAAAGGAACAGCTATATGAAGACAGTCTTTTTGGAAAGAACCAGTTTGAGCCTGGCCTCAAAAACTTAGAAGTCCCTGTCTCAGAATGAAGAATAACCTGGGCTGGGGCGGCAGCGCAGTGAGAAGGCCCTGGGTTCAGGCCCTGGCACCGATAAAAACAGAACAGACCCCGGGACCACACAGCCCGGAGCCACCTGAACAGCTCTGCCATTTCCAAGGCTGACTCCTGTCACATTACACCAGACCCCGGAGGAGACTTAGTGTTAGATAGGCGATTTCTGCTATTTGAAGAAAAGGGGACCCAGAGGGCAAGATAATGCAGGGAATTATCGGGGCCATGGCCTAGCGCCACGATCTGCTCAGAGGCACGACCGCAGAACTCAACACAGACAGAACATAACCTTAGTTACAAGGAGCTCCGGGATGGTAAGGGCTGATGACGGCTTGGACCATGAGGCCCGGTGTCCTCGGCCTTTCGCAGGTGCACAGCATGAGGGTGGGGTGCTGCTGGGCTTCAGGCAGCGGTGGGGTGAACTGCAGACCTGGTCACGGTTCAAGAATGGAGGAACAGGGGGCTGGGGATTTAGCTCAGTGGCAAAAGCGCCTGCTTGGCATGCGCAAAGTGGTGAGCTCGGTTCCCAGTAGCGGAGAAAAACCAAAAAAAAAAAAAAATTGAGGAACAGTGCATTTTTGGGAAAGCACACAGGAGCAGATCATGGATAACTAGTAACCCGATTGTCTGCGAACTGCGACTACTGAGCTAGAAGGAATTTACGCGAGTCCAGTCCTCAGCTTCGAGGCTCCAGAACCTCGAAGGCTGTTTGCGGGTTTAAAGATCAACCTGTCCTTAAGCCAGCTGGGGGTCTGGCCACAAATCGTGTAGGCCTAGGACAGACTCCAGTTTATTTGTGTGCCAATTTATTAGTAGTAGTTACTGCCTGCTGCTACTGCGTCAAGCTGGTCCTCAGCAGGGACCTGCACAGAAACCGGTGGCAGGGCAGCCCGCGTGGGCGGGGCAGGACTCTGACGCCCTGAGTGTTGGTGTTCAGTCACGGGTGGAGGACGAGGGGAGGAGCTCATAGCAGGCCACCCACTGGGGAGCACAGGTGGAAAGGCGCAGGGTCTGTCCTCTTGGGGCTCTGGAGCTTTACAGACAGCAGAGCAAACGTAAGGGCTGGGTCTGCACGGGTGGGGCTTCTCGGAGCTGGCAGCTCAGCCCAGCCCAGAGCCCCCGACGGACATCTCCATCTCCTTCAGATGACAGCGCTTGCTGTGGGGAGCCTCAGTGTCTGCCCGGGATAGCTGCTCCTGCTGAGGGGTGGCCTCACTGGGAGGTGGTCCCCACCTGCTGCCTTTCCTGGAATCCAAGGCAACCACAGGTTTAGGACAATGGCTGGCGACTTGGGCATTGCTCCAGGGGATCTGGAGCCGGTCACTGTGAAAGCTGACAGCTGATGTCCTACAAGTCCTAAAAGCTGCTTTATTTCGATGTGCTCCGTCTTCAAGGGGGACTAGGCAGGCTGCTTAGGGCTAAGAACCCCAGCGCTGGTGGCATTTAGACAGATGCTCTTTAGGTGATTCATGGCCGAACGCAGCCCCCAGCAGGGGCGGACCTAAATTGTAGGAAATAAAAAAGGCACAGAAGGAGATGCTGAGCTCCGAGCTGCTCTGTCGCCCACTGGGCACCTCAGGCCTGCCTCGAAGTCCCTGCTACCTAGGAAGGCCTGGGCATTTGATCGGGGCCTGGCCGCAGAGAAAGTGTCAATCCTGGCTTGTTCATGGTGGGAAAGCCGCACGATCATCAAATCCTGAATGCATGCCAGATCTTCAAATGGCAGCCTGGCAACAAAACAAAACAAAACAAAAAACCCCGTGGCTATCACCTCCTGTTGGGGTTCAGATTTACAGTAAACAGTCGAATATTTACTGCTCTGAGGGCCACGCTAGAAAGCATGATCCTAATCATGCTAGAAAGCTTTATTTATAATGCTTTGAAAGCATGATCCCACTCATGCTTTATTTATAATCATCCTAATATTTTCTGGTACTACTTTGTTTTTATTTCTTTTTGGTTTGTTTTGTTTTGGACAAGTGAACGCTCCCTTCCTCTGGCCCTGTCCGCCTGCGCCCTGCCCTCCCCACCCACGAATGACTCCTGGAGACTCAGCCTCAGACCCCCGGCGACAAGGAAGGGGAACCGGGGCGGCGGGCCTCTGCAGAGGCTGCCAGAAACGCGCCGGGCCTTGTGCTTCTGCGCTTCGCCACAGGAGGGCAGCAGAGGCCGACGCCCTCTCCACCAGCCGGGACCGGGGACGCCGGCCCGGGCGCCAGGCTCAGGGACAGCCAGCGGGAGGGCTGGGGCGCTCTCCGGGGAGGGACGAGGAAGGAGGACCCTGCTTCCCGCCAAGCGGGGGTGTGGCGGTGTCGAGCGTTCCGGGCCGGAAAGGAAGCGGGCCAGTCCGTCTTGCACGCCTGGCCGGATCGCAGGCCCGGGGTGCTGTCTCCTATGCCACCCCAGACTGCCCACAGCGTTAGGGAGGGGACACCAGACCACCCGGACAGGAAAAGCCTGGGTAGGGTCTGGCGGGGGGCTTTTGCTGCTCCCGGAAAGATTTACAACACAGCCGACTTCGCGCAGAGTCATGGGGCAGAGGCGGCGCATGAGCGCGACAGGTTCGCGGTGGCGCACGGCGGCCTGGGTTCGCTGTGAAGCGCTGACCCTGACGGAGCGACCGAGAGGACCCTCCGCAGTGCCCCGCGCTGGGCGCAGTCCCTCCTCCCCATCGCGAGCGTCCTTGGCCGTTTCTCCGCTCGGGTCCCGCGCGCGGAAGAGCCGTGAGCAGTGGCGCCAACCTCCGGCGCTCACCCGGAGCAGGGGAAATTAACTACTCTCCCAGAAATCCTCTGCGGACCAAGGCATGGTGGTGCACGCCTGTAATCCCAGCACTCGGGAGGCTGAAGCAGGATTGTTTTGAGTTCGAGACGAGCCTGTGCTACAAAGTGAGCTCAAGGCCAGCTTGAACTGCATAGTGAGACCCTGTCTCAAGACCAAAGGGAACAAAAAAAGGAAATTCTCTGCGGAAAAAACGGTCTCACAAACAGCGACACCGCTCGGCTAAAAAAGGGAGCGTCGGACCCTTGTCAGCCAGATGCTGCGTACTGCAGCGGGGACACAAGACAGGCACACATCTACCTAGGACGTTTAAGAACGCTCCAAATTTACTGACTTCGTAACTCAGCACACAAACACCACTTCCGAAGTGCACCCACTTCCTCACTCCTGCCTCCCAAAAAAGCTCAAGCCGCGCAAAACAAACAACTGCAAAGGCACAGCATACCAGCTACTTTCCCTGAGAGAGTGGGTGGCTCTGAAAAGAGCCTTTGGGGGCGGGCGGCGGGGCGGCCGCGCTCACTTGGAGCTCGTGTACTTGGTGACGGCCTTGGTGCCCTCCGACACCGCGTGCTTCGCCAGCTCCCCGGGCAGCAGCAGCCGCACGGCCGTCTGGATCTCCCGAGACGTGATGGTCGAGCGCTTGTTGTAGTGCGCCAGGCGCGACGCCTCGCCCGCGATGCGCTCGAAGATGTCGTTCACGAACGAGTTCATGATGCCCATGGCCTTCGACGAGATGCCCGTGTCCGGGTGCACCTGCTTCAGCACCTTGTACACGTACACCGAGTAGCTCTCCTTGCGGCTGCGCTTGCGCTTCTTGCCGTCCTTCTTCTGCGCCTTCGTCACCGCCTTCTTCGACCCCTTCTTCGGGGCCGGCGCAGACTTCGCGGGCTCCGGCATCTCGGAAACAGCAGTGAAAGCACCCACACACGGACTGGAGATTCGCCTGCCGCCGCCTTATGTAGCCGGCTCTATGCAAATAAGGCGTACGGACGGTCTCCGGCGATTGGTGAGTTTTCTCTGTGACGTCACACGGCGGCACCTTCGTCCAATGAACAGACGCGTCGCGCACAGCCGCGTTCCATTGGAGGAAACGAACGTGAAGAGCTGCCAATGGCGGAGCTGCCTTTTCGCGCCCAGAGGCCTCTATAAAGAGCGCTTTCGGTTTTGCTGAGCCCACGGGCGGGTGAGAGCGCTGTGCGAGGAGTGGCGATGTCGGGACGCGGCAAGCAGGGCGGCAAGGCTCGCGCCAAGGCGAAGACGCGGTCTTCGCGCGCCGGGCTGCAGTTCCCGGTGGGGCGCGTGCACCGGCTGCTGCGCAAGGGCAACTACGCGGAGCGCGTGGGCGCGGGCGCGCCGGTGTACCTGGCGGCCGTGCTGGAGTACCTGACGGCCGAGATCCTGGAGCTGGCGGGCAACGCGGCGCGCGACAACAAGAAGACGCGCATCATCCCGCGCCACCTGCAGCTGGCCATCCGCAACGACGAGGAGCTCAACAAGCTGCTGGGCAAGGTGACGATCGCGCAGGGCGGCGTGCTGCCCAACATCCAGGCCGTGCTGCTGCCCAAGAAGACCGAGAGCCACCACAAGGCCAAGGGCAAATAAGGGCTCCAAACCCGTCTCCGAAACCAAAGGCTCTTTTCAGAGCCACTCACTGCTTTCAAAAAGAGTTAAATCGCTTTCATTTTTTAAGCTTGTGTTGGTAATAAAAGTGCCTGCGCTCGATAATGTGTGAGTTTTATATTAAGAGAAAATAAAATGCAATGCAGAGCTCTTTCTGAAGATTTGTGGGTGGCTCTGAAAAGAGCCTTTGGGGTTTGGTGCTAAATCGCATTGCCAACTTCCTACTTCTTCTTGGGCGCCGCTTTTTTGGCTTTAGTAGCCTTGGGCTTTGCGGGCTTGGACTTGGAAGCTTTGGGCTTGGCGGCCTTGGCCTTCACGGCTTTCGGTTTGGCGGGGCTCTTGGCAGCCTTTTTAGGCTTGGCGGCAGGCTTTGCCTTCTTGGGGCTCTTAGCCACTTTTTTCACGCTGGCTGCAGCGGGCTTTCTGGCCTTCTTTGGCGTCTTCTTCCCGGCCTTCTTGGCGCCTGCAGCCCTCTTAGGCTTCTTAGGAGTAGCTCCCGCGGGCTTTTTAGGCTTGGCTGCGCCCGCCTTCTTGGCCTTCGGCTTGGCCTCCCCCGAAGCAGCCTTCTTGTTGAGCTTGAAGGAGCCGGAGGCGCCGGTGCCCTTCGTCTGCACCAGGGTGCCCTTGCTCACCAGGCTCTTCAGCCCCAGCTTGATGCGGCTGTTGTTCTTCTCCACGTCGTACCCACCGGCCGCCAGCGCCTTCTTGAGGGCGGCCAAGGAGAGGCCGTTGCGCTCCTTTGAAGCGGCTACGGCCTTAGTGATGAGCTCGGACACAGGCGGGCCAGTGGCCTTGCGCTTCGCTGCGCCGGCGCCCGCGGCCTTCTTGGTGGCCTTCTTCTTGGAGGGTGACTTCTCCACGGGGGCCGGCGCGGCCGTCTCGGCAGGAGCAGTTTCAGACATAGCGATAAGGAAAAAAAAGGAAAGAGCGAACTCGAACCCAGAAGCAAGATTTGCGGGTCTACGACTGTGGTCGGGGCTTTATATAACGCGGCGCAGGTCTGTGATTGGTGGAGCGCGGACCCACCATCCTCGGCCGCTGCTGCTCAGCCTGGGACTCCCGTGTGTTTGTTAGTGCCCCAAACTCGATTAAATTCTGAAAACCACAGAACAAACTTTTGCGCTTTGAGGCTCCAAAGCGGCAGGACAGTCTCCAGATACACACACTTATTTGTGGTTTTTTCAGTCATGCACAATTAGTGAAAGATACTGTGAAAATCCTTTGGATTCTTGGGAAAACTCCTGCAGGCTGAGGGCGTCCTGCTACTTAGTTACATGTTGCAATGAACTTGTATTTAGTATTCAAGGAATATTATATGAAAGGATTTACCCATAAGTTTACGCTTTGCTTTTTGCAAGCAGAAACACAATATATTCCTTGTCCTGGACATAAAGTTTGCTTCTAACCGTGCAAGTAACACAAGCACAGGGCACTGGTTGCTCCCAGCCTCAAAATAGCCGCAGAGTACTTGAAAACCGGTCCTGCCTCCTAGCAGCTTTCACCTAACTGATGTATTTATAGAGAATCAAGTTTACACCTGGTGAAGTTCCTCTGTCAGAATGACCTCTCCACACCACGGTAGGAAGGTCAGCCATATCTGACCTGGGAAGCCAGCTACTCAAATTCAGTCTTCAATTCTCGCTCACGTGCATTCTCGCTTTACTTCCTTAGCTAATTCATTAAAACAGAGTCAAAAGATACTTAACAAAGATAATTTGTTTTAGAAAAATGTCTAATACTGGCAGAAAATTATTGGAGAACTTTCTGGAGTCAAGATGTGCAGACTGGATGTGCTGGGGCGCTCTGAGATGGCCAGGCTTTCTTCCCCTACCTCAGGCTGCGTTTCCTTCAGCATTTAGGAATGGCCTGTGAGCAGCCGGGGCCAGCAGTATGGGTGTTGCAGTGTTTCCTTCCAGCTGGGCCAATGCTTTAGGATAAATATTGACTATGAGGTTGACTGAATATTGAGTGGCTGAAGGTCAGAGGCTCAAAAGCATGCAGCAAAACAACCATGGAACTGAGGAGGTTAGAATGAGGGGCAGGTCGTTTATCATTTGGAGAGAAGGAAAATGATTAGGATTTTTGTGCCAGTATTATTAAGGTCGAAAGATTTATTTACATCTATACTAAAGCTAACAGGAACCAGATGTGGTGACCCATACCTGTAATCCCAGCACTTGGGAGGCTGAAGCAGAATAGCCTTGAGTTGAAGGCCAACATAGGCTATACAGGGAGTTGAAGACCAGCCATGACTACAGAGACATTGTCTCAAAAAAAACAACAAAAACCGAGAAAAGAAAGGTTCTATAACAGAAAAATAGTATTTTTTTAAAACAAGAAAAATACTTTTGATCCCAAAAGTCAACACTTTTTGCCTGTGAAAAGCTACACAGAGAAGTTTAAAGTCACCAAAAAATATGTTCTAAGAGATTAGTCAAGTGTGGGCAGTGGTCTGTTTTTGATGACCCTCCAGCTAAGAGTTATCTCTGCATTTTTATAAGACTGCTAAAAAACAAGAATAATACCTAAGAGATCCATTTGTGGCTTGCACAATCTTAAATTATTGACTCCCTGGCCCTTTGGGGGAAATTTTGGACTCCTCCATGCAGACACAGGTGGATCTATAGGTTTCTTTCAGAACAAAGCATGTGGAAATCTAAAGAATAAGAGATTTTAACAATATAATGTTCTAACCAGCACTTACCATGATTCACAGTCATAAATCTTTCACAGCATTCTGGAAAGAAGTCCCCAAATCCCACGACTACGTAGGCCAAGTGTGACAAGCACCGACATTCACTGATACTACTCTGAGCTGAGAAGTAATCCTAGCTATGCTCTGCAGATTTCAAATCATCTGCCACATTTCATAGCTGTACAAGCAGAGGCCCAGAGAACGAGTACCCCCGTCACCAAGACCCTACAGCTAGTCACTGGCAACTCGGGTGTACCCCGAACCTGCCCCACAGCCCTGCAGCGACGGTGGGAAACCCTAACCTTACTGGGGACAATAGTGGGGCTTGAAACCTTTCCCACCCCTGGTGCGAGCTTTAATGGCAGAAAAAGGCTTCTGCCCCAGAAGTTCCCTCTATCAGAAGTTCCCTCTAATCAATCCCCAGTCTCGAAAACGCTAAGCTAGAGGGTAAGTTGTTAAGACTATATGCTTACTTGGAGAAGTGAGTTCAAAAATAGGAGGCACAGATGGCTGACCTCCCTGCAGACGCTAAGACTGCCCTCAGTTAACTGCCGCGGTGTCAAGCTGTTCACCCAAATATGTAAGAGCAACGATGGTCACAGAAAACATGAAACAGCAGCTGAAATACCAAAGTTAACGAACCGCTTCCCAATGCTGTCTTTATATCCTGTGGCTATTTCAATTCTGGAAAGCCCAGTATCAGACTATGATATTGTGCAATAACTATCGGCAGCTCATTCCAGTGATGCATTGCAGCGTGCAGGCCTTGCTGCATACTGATGCCTGCTGAGGGCCTGACATACGCACACCACACAGGCAGTAACTAATAGCGTTCACCGACAGCACAGTGAAGCAACTTAGGGGAGTTGAAGCACAAAAGCCTGATATGACTTACAACTACACTACACCATGAAAGCAGCTAACTACATGTGCATCCAGTAACTTAGGAAATTGTCTTTAAAACTACTTTTACAAAAATTAGTCACTACTCTGGAAAAGCAACCTGACAATTGCATTGGCACTGCAGCTTATACATGGATGTACACGTGCCGTACAAGGTAAATGAAGACCATGTACCTCCTGTAGTTAAAAGTGTAACAGCTCATTTACTGACAAAGGAGGGGCTCTGAAAAGAGCCTTTGGGATCAGTTGGACAAAGTAGCAACAGCGCGTCATTTAAGCCCGCTCCCCGCGGATGCGGCGCGCCAGCTGGATGTCTTTGGGCATGATGGTGACGCGCTTGGCGTGGATGGCGCACAGGTTGGTGTCCTCGAACAGCCCCACTAGATACGCCTCGCACGCCTCCTGCAGCGCCATGACCGCCGAGCTCTGGAAGCGCAGGTCCGTCTTGAAGTCCTGCGCGATCTCGCGCACCAGCCGCTGGAACGGCAGCTTGCGGATCAGCAGCTCGGTGGACTTCTGGTAGCGCCGGATCTCGCGCAGCGCCACCGTGCCGGGCCGGTAGCGGTGCGGCTTCTTCACGCCGCCGGTAGCCGGGGCGCTCTTGCGGGCCGCCTTGGTGGCCAGCTGCTTGCGCGGGGCCTTGCCGCCGGTGGACTTGCGCGCCGTCTGCTTCGTACGAGCCATACGTGCAACTCGAGACCTCTCACAGAAGTGAGCTCTTCGGCTTGCAAAGCTCGCTATTTATAATGCCCCGCGAGCTCTGATTGGACGGGAGACTGCCCTTCCTACATCTCCCCACGCCATTGGTTTGCGTGTGAATCCTGTCTCAAGAGAAACTCCGCCTCTATACTTTTACGACAAGCAGGAAGAAATTTTAATAAAAGCATCGTGTATGTGTTACAGTCTCAAGAAAATGTTGACTGGAATATCTAAAGTGTCTTGCAAGTTGTTAAATGATTTTCTGGGACTTTGCTAAAGCTTACCCACGACTAAGTGGAGTCGCGTTCACCGTTCAGAACTCACGGGGCGGGTGAACGCCCGAGTCGCCTCCATCACGACAGACCGGCGACTCCCGCGACGCCTCGTACTCTTGGCTGATTACCGCGGCCCTGACCGCTCATCCACCCAGCATGCTTAGTTTTCCCGTCTGCCTGTCTCCACAAGGACAGGGACAGGGCTCCAGAATTCAGGGCTTTGCACCGAGACAGAGCGGGAGGGACGATCGCGGTTGGCGCTGTGCTAACACAAGGAACCTCTTTAAGTTCACCGCAAAAGGACAGGACCGGGCCGCAGAGAGTGCGAAACTTCTGTGACCGCGGCCCATGCCGGTCGCGAGGCTGTGGCGCCGGAAACCGCCTTTACCGAGTTCCTCCTCGCCCCGGCCGCGCCCGAACGTGATCTACAGGAAACGCTGAGCGGGGCAAAGTGGAGCATATCGTCTCTCATACGGCCCGTCTCGGACCTGATGGAGAACAGCTCCCACCCGGGGCAAAGGCTCAGCGCGTGGTCCCGAGGTGCCCTCCCCACGGCTGGAGGAATGCGGGGAAGGTGGTAGGACACCCGCACCTCTGCCGCCCCTGCCGCAGGGTGCCCTTGGGGTCGGGCCCGGGGTCTTCGTGTCCCGGAGGCCGCCCGAGCGACTTGGGCCCTGCGCGAGGTGCTGGCTCTGTTTAACACGGGCTTCGGGTGCCTGTGGCTGTCTGCGCTTTTTTGCAGTTTGATTCTCTTCCCTGATCCTTACCTGGTACTCTTTCCCTTCCCTCGTCACATGTGCGGGCAGAAGCGACCTTTAGTACTTCCTCCACCCTGCGAGAAACACTGGGGGCAGCTGAGCGACGCAGGCGCTCCCGCTCGGCGTGGTCGGAGCGGTGAAAACCTCCCCGCGCGCTCCCCTGTCCCTCTTCTCCATGAGGGAAATCCGCTGTGCGCAGAAAACTTCCTCTCCAGGTAAAGTATCACACGGTGCGGGCGCCACAGAGTTTATTCCCGGGAGAAGGGGTCTCCCCGGCGGAGTGGACTCCGGCGGCCGCGGTCGGTCACCCTCCTCGCCCCGGCCTGGTCCTCCTCATCACAGCCTGGGCAGTTTTCCCAGCCAACCCCTTCCCTCACCCTGAAGGTCAGAAAAGTTCACCTCTGTATGTTTCCGGCATGTTGATTACTGCCCGGACAAACATGTCATACTCAGGAGTCGGTCGGACCAAGTGCATCGTAAGCCCTTGGACTGTTGGTCGGCCACGCTCGTGTTTCCTGAATCAGCCGGGTACCGAGCTTCCAGGCCGGCATCCAGGCGCTCACCTGGGCGGTGCCAGCCCTGCGTCGGCGGGTGGAATGCTCTGAGCAGTCCTCTTCCCTTGCAGCTAATAGGAGCCCACGCAGCAGCCTGCCTCATGAAACGGGGCCAGTGTTACTTTTAAATGAAAATCTCAGGATGAACTCTGGAATCATTAAGAATCCCTTCAAGCCTCTTCTGGCAGGCAACTGTAGGGAGAAAGCAGCGTCTTCCCCCAGGGCGTGGAGTTGGTGGCTGGGCCTACAAATCAAACTGGCAAACACTTCCATTAACGCGGGAATATTTCTTACATATACATAGGGGAGGCCTTGCACACAAGGAGTGAAACCCAGAGAGGAAGGATTGAGCTTACCTGGGACAGTTATGCAGATCAAGCCAGCGAAGGTGATGAGAATGCCGAGTCCTCTTCTGCTGTGGCTTTCACCAGAAATTGTCCTTTATAAAGATTTTTACTACGATCTGTCTGCTCTTTCTCAAAATAATTCACATACCCAAGTGACTTATTCTGGAGTGGAATATTTTGCTCTTCTATGTAACAAACTCCAGAAGGTCTCTGCTCTGACGCCCTGACAGTGCTTAGCCCTGAGAATATCCACGTCGTTGGGGTTCCAAATGCACTGTTCCAAAATGCGGCACGTTGGCCAGCTGAGTACTTCTTTTTTTTTTTTTTTAAGCACTGAGTACTTTAAATTAAAGGAAAACTTGTCACTGGTTAGTGTGGGTCTTTGCTTTTAGTGATAATGGAAATCTAAACTAAAGCATATATTCACAGGAAAAAACTAATTAGAAGGTAAGAAAAGTAGTAAGGGGCTTTAGTGTGGGGCATTGATAAAGATCAGGCTGGCCCCCAATGGAAGAGAGTGAGAAGAAAATCGAAAAGGACCCCAGCGTGAGCAGTTGGAGGAGTGCGCTGGGGAAGGGGTCCGCGCGGCCCGCAGAGGCAGGAGGCCGCCGTCCAGGACCAGCGGAGCTGCACTGGGCCCCTGGTCAGTTGTTGTTCCCAGCTTCCCAGCTCCGGAGCCCTCGTGGCTCGAGGGGTGGTTCCTTCCCTGGACCGCTCTGCAGTGGCTTCCCTCCCGTGGGCTCTGCTTTTCCCGGAGTCAGGCGATTTCGGAGCACAGCAGAAGGGCTTCCTCTGTCCCTTCGGCCCGTGTGCCCTGTCCTCGAGGAGGGTGAGATTATTCAAATTCAAGGCTAATCCAACTTGTTTGGCCAGCTGTTAAACAGACTCCCCACTGATTAACGCACCTGGAAGTGGGGCGCAGAAGGCCCTGACCCAGACCTTAAGCTGAGTTTCTCAAACTAAAAGTCAAGCTTTGTTCTGCTTTTATCTATAGCAGGGCTCTGTAGACCCAAGTGAAACAATTCCTCCTCTCTCTTTCCCTCTCTCTCTGTGTCTGTCTGTCTGACTCTTTCTGTTTGTTTTCCAGAATGGGAGATTGTAGGGAATGAGTTATTTGCCTACTGTTTCTTTAAGGTCACTTTGCCGCTGAGCACTAAGTCTGTGGAACACAAACTTTCCACCTTGTGACGTACGCATTAAACTGCAGCGTCTCTAGATGATCTGACCGCTTGTCGGCCCTAAAGAACAACGTTTCCTCCTGTCCCAGTATGATCTCCAACTCCCTCTCAAGTACAGATAGGTACATTGTACTCAATCCCCTTGACCATTAGCAATAGTCCATCTTCACCTATGTTTTCATTAGCTTTACCCGGAAGGGCAGATTCTAGCAATGCTAAGGGCACTGGACCCTGGGGGACAAGCGTTACTCAGTCTGCCAGCAACCCAGGCTGTCCTGAGACCTGGGCCGGACACTGGACACCGTGTCTGGATGACTTCGACCCGGCTGACCTCTCCAGACCCCCGCTCCCCGAGTTAAAATCAAACATGGAAGTCCCAGCCTTTCACCCTGGCAGCTAGTCCTCCTCACCTGCTCCTCTCCTGCAGGGCAGCAGTCAACTACTTCTCTATAGCTTTTGCCTATTTGTAAATTCTTTCTGTTACCTGCTGCACCGGCCTCTCATACACCACACCTTGAGCCGCAGGGATTGAACTCAGGGCCTTCATACTGAGCCACACCCCCAGTCTATCAAAATTGTTTTTAAAATTCTGAGACAGAGTCTGGCTACGTCACCAAATTGCACACGTTCTGCTTTAACTTGTGATTCTCCTGCCTTAGCCTCCCAGAATGCTGGAATTACAGTCATGCACCACCAAATCAGGGTTCTGTTTGTTCCTTAGCAAAAAAAGGCTGTTAAGTACCACATTGACTCAGAGGAAAACAAAAATCATGCTGCTTAACCATTAACAGGCTATTGAAGATACCAAAGTATAGTACAACAACTATTGATAATCTACCTCTTTTGTCTGTAACTCACTATTATTTGTCTATTTGTTTTCCTGAGAAACTATCTTGTAGATAACAATATGTAAAACAATAACCACTGATAATTTCCTACCACTTTGTCTGTAATTTGGTAAGCCCCCCTATTACTATGTTATCCGTCTTTTACTCTTTAAAATAAATAACAAAAAAAATTAAAAAAAAAAATTAACAGGCTAAGGGCCCAGTACTCTGCTGTCCCCTGACTCTGTTTTTCTCCCAAAACAAGTAAAAGAAACCAGAATTCAGCCACGACTGGGATCCTGAAGCAGGAGGATGGAAATTCCAGCCCAACCTAGACAATTCAATGGCTGAGAGAAATCTGGTCTCAAAAATTAAAAAAAAAATTTTAATTGAAGGCTGTGGATGCAGCTCAATGCAAAGGCCCTGAATTCACTCCGCAGTGGGGGTGGGGTCAGAATTCCTGTTCCTAAGGCAGTAGAAACTAGAATTCCGAAGCAAGCCTGAAAGCCAGGGAAGGTCTCTGCTTTCTCAGTAGGCTGAGCGCCAGGCCCCACCCTGCCTTGAGGCACAGAGAACTCAGCCCCACTGGCCTCACCGCAGTTTCCCTCTGTGTGTCGCCTTCAGGCCATGCCTGTACCCCGGCACTTTGTACACGGAGGCCCATTCTTCATCACATCTAAGCACTGGTTTATTTATTTGTTTTTGAGACAGGGTCTCACTATGTAGTCCAGGCTGGCCTTGAACTCACTATGTAGCCCATGTTGGCTTTGAACTCCAAGGGATCCTCCTGCTTCAGTCTCCTGAGTGCTGAGATTACAGACCTGTACAACATGCCCAGTAATATCTAAGCGTCTTGTGCTTAGCTTCTAGTGTGCAGTTTTCCCCTGGTCCTTGCGTCTCCATTCCTGAAGGCTTGGTGTCACAC